CTACATCTATAGTTTTCCGACAGAAAATATAATACCATAATGGAAAATTTTAATTTGTAGGCACAAATGGTATATCGGTTAAAATTTTACTACCACATTTCAATCCTTAAATCTTGAATTGCTTCAGCTGAGTACGGCACATCAATTAACGCTGTCGGAGACATGAATAGACCTTATTATTGTCTCAAATACCCCTAAGGCCTGATGTACAGTCAGTTTTCGGAGCCACACACACGCACACGCACGCGCACGCGCACACGCGCGCACGCGCACATGCGCGCACGCGCACATGCGCGCGCACAGTGATTTTCAAAATTTGGACGCAAATACATTGATTAATGATCTAAATGTGTCTACATTTATGAGTAAGTTTATCAGCGTTGTAGTCTGCAGTAATTTCTACTTTAACTTCAGACCATAATGTGTCTGTTTACTGATATTATAATTCAACTTTTAACAAATACGCTTCTTTGTGTAAATCAAAGATTATTAGGCTATCTGCCTTGAGGTTTACGGACGAAATTCGTTATATAATGAAATAACAAGATGTATCATACGAAAGTTTAAAGAAGAGAAGGTAGTTTCAGAGGAAAATTATACGAAACTGCGAAATACCGTAGATCATGGCATTATAAATGAAAAATAAGGTACTTCAAAAATGTTGAGTTCAATTGAATAGAAAAAACTAGAACGATATATGTCACATTTTATAAATTGTGAGAAAACTGTTGAATTATTTCAATATCACTGTAGAGTCGTGGTGCTTTGTGTCATCATTAAAACCAGATCATTTCAATTGTTCATTAAAACCACAAAATTACATGGGCACTGAAATACAGCCTAATGAAAACACGATTTCCTTAGAATTTATAAAATGTCACTTCTGGTTTTAACTCATTCAATTACTTCACAAGTTCAAAGCTAGCGACTCTTCAGCAAATGTTCAGTTTCCGTTAAATTAATTAAACTCATTTTGTCCCATTGAGTCGTTTATTAAGGAGGGATCAAATCGTAAACTAGTTGAAGCTAGCAAATAAATTGGAAATAAATTCTAATTCAGTTTCATTCATGCAAAAAATTCGTATCAGACTGCTCAAACGATCAAATGCGAAAGGATTAGATAAAAATTAGTGGTTTTACAACAGCACATACTTTGTCGCATTACTTCTAAATCTGAAATTTTCGAAAATTCATTGTTTAACTGATGAGACCCGTGACGGGCGGGCGGACGAACGGACGGGCGGACGAACGGACGGGCGGACGAACGGACGGGCGGACGAACGGACGGGCGGACGTGCGGACGGGCGGACGTGCGGACGGGCGGACGTGCGGACGGGCGGACGGGCGGACGGGCGGACGGGCGGACGGGCGGACGGGCGGACGGGCGGACGGGCGGACGGGCGTTTTTCCACCAATCGATTTTTCGGCATCGAGATCCACAAAATATTTTTTCTGGCTACATTACGTCTTAGATGAAGTAATCTACCATTTAGGAACAGTATTCATGCACTTTTTCGTTACAACGGTCCGGCAATACGAGATTTCTTCCCGAAATTCGCCGTTTTCCGGCGCATGATTACATTACATTCCCTTCTTACGAAGTAAGTGGGAGAAAGCAAAAATTAAATTGCTGAAATCTGATTTGCATGCACTTCTATATACGATAAATCGCATAATATAAAACTCTCTCTACCAGTCAGATATTTTGCTGAAGACATGGAAGCTGGCTCACCTAAGACCTCTCTCTAAGGGGATTGTTCGTTCTCACTTACGGGTTGCAGTCCCATTCTGCATGATTTACACACGTTCTTGGCATGATGCAAATACTGAACACTAAAACAGTTTACACAATATACTTCTAAACACAAAGAAGGAAGTAGATCACTTGTTATATTCGTGCTAATAAGCTCATGGACACCTCAATACTGATATTTCACAATGCTAGATTAACTGGTCTGAGCATGTCAAAACATGAATGAACTTGCACAGTATTTTCTCTTGGTATCTCAGCATGATAATACATATAACTTCCTTAAATACAGCTTGAATAAAATCGCTACATATAAGGTAAATGTTCCTACGACAGGTCAAAGTGAATGTTAAAATCAAATTTTGAAAAGTACCTGTCACAAAAACACTGTGCTAGATGGACACATTCTGAATAAATATCCGAATTCAGTATTAAAAATCGCACTAGTTTCACTAATCAGATTTCTTGTGAAGTAAATCTTGTCGACCAGTGTACCCAGAATATATGCTACCAGAATATATGCTACCAGAATAAACAAACAGCTAACGGTGTGTCAAAATTTAGAACAATTTTTTTTCAAACAACCACTCCCGGCCAGCCAGGTGAAATTATCAAGGAAGTATTTTCTAGACCCCAGATTGGGCACTCTAACGTCAACGCCACCGTAATAAAGGTCGTTAACGATAGGTGGAAAGAGGTAGCATTAGCAATGTATTCATCCTGTGAGTAGAAATTTATTGTACTATTAAAGCTTGACTTTCATGATCTAACACAATCACACTGTGGTAGATTCAGTTTCCATTAGTTGCGACTCTTCACTTCTATTATTTGAGTATTCACTTTTGAGTATTTTTGGCATTGATTATATGCAACAATGCTAAGGGTACAAAGTAGGTGTCAAGCGGATAATTATCCAAAATATCCAAGGCGATAAAATAAAGAAATATTTGTTAATTAATGAGATGTTTGAAAAACTAATGAAATGTAAGAAAATTGAGAGATATTTAAGTTCACTTCAAATGTGGATTTTTACAAAGAAACAACATGAGAATGGGATTTCGGCAAATTGATGTTTTCAACTGATCACATCACTTCCTTTCGCATCATGAATGCACTGCCACTGGGTGTCATTGCTATAAATAATCAGTAAATGGGATGCAATCCGTTTATTATAACAGACAGTTGTTGATAAATTCTCGTTGGTACATTTCACTGTCTTCATTTGTTTATAACAAAAACATAACCTTTTCTTAGTGGTTTTGTTTTTTTAGGAATGCATTTGAAGGTTGAAATTGAGTTGAAAGGGTGATATTCTTTTTTGTTTTATTTCGGTGAGTTTCTTTTGGGATTGATACATAGATGGTTTTCATGAAGCTGCAGAGAGCAGTGAACAGTTTCTTTAAAATCTTTACAAGGGTGAAGGCATATTTAGGTCTCTTTGTAGTCTAATTTTTGAAATAATCAAGAGCCCTACCTGAATCATTTTTAGCGTTTTTATGAACATTGCTATTTGTGAACATTGCAACACCTAGAAGGAATGGTCGGAATCACTGAAAAATCCTGTAGCCCGAAGATCTTAGGTTTCGTGTCTCGATGGTGGTGTTTTTCGATACTGGCTATATACCTAGATCGAATTCAATTGCCGTTTGGAGGAGAATTCAAGCGGTCTACTGCTCCGATCGGTAATTTAAATCTTTTTTTTTCGATCAACACCAGGGGAATGCGGCAGCAAATCCCTAAGGAACGGATCAACGATTGAACACATTGTTTCCTTTCTCTTACGTGTCATAACCTCATTCCTTGTTTTCTCACTTTCATGCACTACCAGACATGTCAAGAGACAAGTTGGGAACTCACAGTTTGTCCTGGCTGAGACGGTACCCCGCTGACGAGAGAAACCTGGTTGGGAAAACCCGCAAGCAAATGTGATTTTCGGCGCCGGTTGTATCAGTCCAGAGGGGGGAAAACCGCAACCTCCTCTTAAAAACATGCACTGCACGTAAGGGTTTACCGCCCGTTTCCGTTGTCACGCTTGTAAACACCAAATAATGAATCATATAATTGCTCGTTGTTGTGGATTTAAAAACATAATATCAGCAGAGTTAGAGGGTCTTGTTCGGCGATCAGTCGTAATAAGTAGGTGTATATAAATTTTTAGTAATATAGTATTACTTACGTGCCATCAAAAATTATAATTAAACATTTTTTTAAGTGATTAACTACATTTCATCCTAACTGTAGGCGCTTTCCCTGATGATTTCCCTTACAACCGCCACTGCTTTTATTCTTAAAATTTCAAGCTCTCCATGTAATTTTTTTCCTTTGTAATTTCAACACCTTTGCACGAAACCCTAACACGTCTACAGGTTGAACATTGACAACTGACTTACCTGAAGCAAAGCGATGGAACGAGGAGAATTAGTTTCAAGGAACTGAGAAGACAAGAGAGGTTGAGGTTGACAACCACTGAGCTGCATGCAGAACGCCGTTTGCTGTGGAACGCAATTAGTTCATTTTTACCGTGTCTCAACGCGACCCGAGCAGCACCAAAGTTGGTTCCTCGGTACTTCATGCTCCCGGCAAAATATGTTTCTGTTCCAAGCGAAATACTGCATGTGTGCCGGCAGTTTCGTTTGATCTTTTGAAGAGAGATTTTTATTCGTTATTTAAGGTCGCATCAACTTCTAGGTCATTAGTGACCTCTATTGCGAGTAACGTTATGGTACCTATGAGGGTGACATGATATGATGATAGGGGGTGGAAGGTCGAACACAATATAACCAGGCTCGAGGCGGGACTCGAACCCGCGATCCTTCAGCCCAAAGATCACTACGGCACTACTGCCTTAGCGATCTCAGCGATCGGGACCGGCTAAGAGAGATTCTTCAATTTATCTTTTAAGATGGTACCTTTATTTCAGACAACTTTCAATAAGTTAAAAAAATCGTCAAGTCATTGTTTAATAATTGGTCAATACGTCAATACATTGATTAAAAATAGATAAGTGGTTTTGGTCTTGGGGAATTTTTATTAAGCAGTCTCAAATTGGACAACATTGTGCAAAAGCTCTGCGACAGCACCGAATCCTCTCCAGTATCATTAACCTGGTGGACCTAATGTTAGCGTTCCGATTTTCGCAGTAGCTACATTGCTGAGACTCATTCGATCTCTTAATAATTAGTTGTTTCCGGGTTTGTAGGCCGTGGTCCAACGGAGACTGGACCAAACCTTTTGCCTGCAACTGTGGCAGGCATCATTTGTGGCGTTGCTGGCGAGGGCGAAGTGTCCTTCTTGGCAGCACCGCATTGACGTACGCTCCTGCGGCTCTGGGTCCTGTGTTCATGGTGAAAGGTGAGGTTCGCGCCCGCTCGCTTCCGATTGGGTCGCGTCAGCAGTACTGGTAGGCTGCCGAGTTTTGGTCTTACAGAGTGCCGAGTATTGTTTAATTTTTCACATGCTTCTTTTCTGTTGAAATTGTTTTTGTGTTTATAAATCTCGATGGCTTCCATTTGGAGTCTCTTGTAGTAGTGTGTGGTGGCGGAGAGAATATCCGTTGCTTCAAAGCGCATGTCGTGTTCGTGTCCCGACCGCGCGTGATATGCGACAGCTGACGTATCAGTATGTCCTAGTCGGCAGTTCTTTTTGTGTTGTTTTATCCGAGTATTAAAGCTTCTCCCTGTAGTACCTATGTATACGAAACCGCAAGAGCAAGGAATTCTGTACGATTCCTTGTGACGACATGGCAGAAATTTGTAGCGTTGAAAAGAATAAAATATGTATTCATCTCTCCCTGTTTGACAGTTGTTCATACACATCTGCGACGGTATGTGCCGAGAGATGTGGCAACGCATTTATGTTTTATGGGGGTATGTAGTGAAATAAAATTAATTCTTGAAATTTAATTTCCAGATATGTAATTATTAGAATTACAGCATCCCAGCAGATATTAAAGTAATAAATTGTGTATGTGCGTTTAAAAATCAGTCACAGATAACAGTAAATACGGGTGCGTACCTTCAATTGTATGAGTTCAGTAATGAGTTTGTGGAACTGAATTTATGTGGTGGTCAAATGAACTCAATTTGTTGGATCTGTGACAATAAAATGTAATGAAAGTTAATGCCCGCTATTATCGTTCTCAAAATAAGAAAATGTCATGTTAATTACAAATTTTATTTCTGTATACAAAATCCCTGTCGTGAATTAATTCTATGCATTTACGGAAAGCGACAATTAATTGAGTGGGGAAATGTGTAAATGGATGTGGTTAAGCTGTCATGGCAGAATAATTGTAAAACGTAAATTCATCGTCAGATTAGGACACAATGCTTAAGAAGAAAGTATTGAATAGACTAATATAAATAAAGAGAATGAGAAGATGACCAGTTTAGGAATGAAAAGAATTGACTAATGAGAGTCGCAGTGTATTTTCCAAATACTCGAATCATAACTAATAAGGGGCGCAAAAACGCTGGAATAATAATGTGGTCTAGACTCAACCTGACAACAATATAAGGTACGCTTTAAAACGCCTTTAATGTTTTAAAATGTAGAGTGCAATTTTCGCCATTCAATGAACAGCGTTATTCACGCGAAAATAGTGACAGAATATCAACGTCAGAATGTCAACCAATACGTCGATGAACTTAAAAAATATCGAGTCAATTTTCATTCCTTTAGATATGAGATATCAATTAACCTGTAACTTTTGATGCAAGGAAAATAAAATATAATAAAGACAAATATATTGCAAGTAATGAGTATAAGAGAGATTCGATTGAAAGTGTTTGGCATTACGATCCTCGGGATAAATACCAATATATCCTCGGGAGGATCCTCGGTACCCTCGGGTTGAATACCAACATATTCACTTTAATGAAAAAATATTGTAATATACTTTACTTTCATTACATACTACAAATATTTTTTCTCAGGTGTGTACGTATGATGTTCCGACTTCCGCCGTGCCATCACGCACGCTTTTCTCGGTGCGAAAATGTACACCGACCTGGCTCTGTGAAGTCCGCATCCACTGTATGGCGTTGGGACTTCTCACACGACGCAGTGGTGTACTACGAAGACGGGTGTAGCATCCCCCAACAATTGCTTATGGTCCAGATTTGTACTTGACCACCAAGAAAATTGCGCAATCTCAAAAGTACTGATCTCAGGGAAATAATGATGGTGGATGGAGAAGGTTAGAACAAGAATATGGAGGCAAAATTGAAAAATCAACATACACGGTATAATTTGAAATCACAAGGGTACACTGTTCATGAAAGAACAAAAAGGAGAAAAACAAAAATACACAAAAATATGCACTGACAAGAATATTTATATAAAAGCCTTGAGCACAGTAACATAATTAAATACCTTTTTTCTAGCTTTTATACAACTGAAAAACAATTATACTTTCCCTAAGAATCCATCCTAATAATATTTCTATCTTCAATTTCTTACACGAGTTTTTACCCGTGAGGTATTTAGAACAAACTACTTCTCAATAATTTCGCTCTCCTTCTAAATAGTAAAGGACACAATTGTATTGCTAATTGAATTATTTTTTACTTATTTTACAAACCCTTGCTTTCAGAATGTCAAAAATATGAAAAGAACATACACAAATTGCAATTCTACATTTTTCAATTTACACTGACAAATAATACTTTTCTTTTAAGAAATGAAACATTTACAGAAAATGTGCACTGAATAGAATGTACAAAATTAACAGCTTCTAGTCACTCTATTCTCACAAATAGGAATGTTGAATGTTTCGTTAAGAGATATATAGAAATTCTCTCTCAAATTCACTGCTGACCTCAGTTCAATATTTTACTCGCTCCTCTATCTGATCTACAAATCCTACGCTGAGCGACGCGCGACCTTGACAGAGCGTCCTGCGAGGTAGCAAAATTATGTTCTCTCTCGGGCAATTCTAAAAGAAATATTTTGGGCGAGTCGGATGTGGAGCAACCAAATCATGTGGTAGCTTATCCTGAGAGTTTGCACTTCCAACAAGGACTGGCACTGAACAACTACCTCAACGATTTAGAGAAATATAAGGAAAACGTTGGCCTTTTTTGTGCATTGAGGGGGCGGATGTAGTGGGCGGCGAATACTGAACTCTTGTTGTCCCTGGACAGATCCTCTTATCAAATGACAGATTTCGGGCGTTGTCATTATCAATTTCGTGTTGTGGTGTAGTTCGGCTTTCGCTCTCACAGGCTGAATACAATTCCGTGACCCACCGGTCCGTGGAAATGATCTCTGGGCCATGTGTCTTTACGAACAGGTATGTGGCTCGGTACTCCAGTCACAGTTAGATTCAATTGGATTTAAATTAATACCATTTTCCGTCACCTTGTGAAGCATTGGTTGGGAGGATGGTATACCAAAGAAGAGAAAATTAAGATAAACATAATGCTTCTACGCGTATTAACATCTTTCACATGAGAAAATTTCTTTTTAGAATTCCATGAATAATCACCATGAATAGTATTACAAACAGAATAATTACCTCTTGTTGAGAGACGTTTTGAAATTATCTACAAATAGATTTCCATTCGTACGTCTTCACTATTGACCTTCTTCTCTTGGTTAAAAGTAAATGTATAGAATATTTTCACTTTTACTTATACTAAACATGATATCGAATATAATTTTTTTGTCTAGCTGTAGACTGAAAATGTCATTTAAGTTTGAATATGACAATTTAGTTTTTGAAGACCAAACCCCGTTTACTTGGTAATTCTTCACACAAATAAAAAAGTGGCAGTGAGTCGTTGGTGAACGGTGTATTATAAGTGAGCGCTGGGTGGAGATTCGCAATAAAAAACCGTAACACTCGGGCCTCAGGGTACATGTTGATAACTCCGACTTCCGCCATTGATATTTTAGCGACCCAAATGCTTTTCCAAAAAGGTAGAGAAGGCTCTCTTAATTCAAAGAACTCGACGTTATTTCTCTTTCACATGCCAATTACGAACAAGAACATATATTTTTGTCATTTTTGTACTTACAAATTACAATCATAGGTATTTGTCTATTGACCAACAATATTATGAATTAATTTATTTGCTCTCATTTTATTTTGTTTTAATTAGAAATGTGTGCTAAATTTAGATACAACTTCATTGTTATTCAACTTCATTTTCCCCGTCGATTGCGTATTTTTATTGCATGTCTCCTGCTTATGTTTAATTTTTAGTGATTTTTTTCAGGCGTGTGGAATCACGCAAGTTTTGGTACCTGAGCATTCGATTTTTTTGTAGTTACCTAAATGTGAAATACTTAAACTATGACGAATCAATAAAAGGTACCTAAACCACCTAGTTTGATTCCAGGAAAGATTTTGAATTTGAGAGCAAATATCCGGCGAGTAGATATTTGACCCTTGTATTTGAATATTGCGTAATAATTAACGATGTAGAAACAATTAATGATAATCATGCAGTTTTTGTTATTCTGTGATGTCAAAACTAAAAAGTCTTTTCTTTCAGTTCTTTTTATCCCGATAATTCCTTAAAATATTATACCACTAAATTTATTTCCAATTAATCAGTTAATTGTTATTTTCAACCTATTAATCGATTAACTGAAATTCGTTTTTCATTCGATAATAATTAATCGATTACAAATAATTCAGTTTTGTCTTCACTGCACCTGGTGACTTGAAATTCTGAATCCCCGGCTCTTTTGCATATACACTCCGATTTAAACACAGTGGCACTTCAAAGTCACGTACTGGACGGAGAGGGGGACACTGTCATCCAATTGTTTTTTCATTGTCTATAAGCACATTTTTTAAAATTTTTTCACAAAAGTAGTACTTACATTATTGAAAATATTATAGAATATTTGAGTTTGAATATCTGACAAGTGGGGATGCTAACGTGACAAATATTTTTTGCAATGAATTCTAAGGACCCAAGCAATACTGGATGTTCCTATAGAGAAGAGAAAACTTTCAAATAAGAGACGGGTGTAGTTAGCAAACGGCAACTGTTGAATGTAAAATATATTAAGAGTTCTCAAATGTGAGGGCGCGAGCCCCCCAAACATGATCTTCCAAACTATACGGGCGCGAGCCTGCCCTCTCCCTAGAGCGTCTTTCCTGCTGTGACATTTTTCTTGTCGGCTTTTCCGAAACCTCCATTCACCAGTGATTTAATTTCCTGGCTGGTCACCGGTATTTGTGAATGAAATGATGCCGGCAGCAGATATTACGTTCAATTTTAATACCTCAATATCTCCGCCTGGAAAGGACGGATGTATTTAATCAAATTTACTTTTCACATTACAACTTGCAGTAACATTACGTAGTAATGAATTGAATGCATTAAAAATACTTC